GCATGAAGTCAGTGAATGGACCATGAGACAGTGAAAGGTGTTAACATTTAGGGATGGACAGTCTAAATAAAGGAAGCAGTCTTTATTTAGATGGACAAGTTTGTACTGGGGAAAATATGACAAAAATTCTGGAAAAATTCTTTCCTTTTTTAATTTCATACACTTTAGGTCTCTTTTTTTTTTCTTTTCTTTCTATGAGGAGACCTAGGTGAAAGAAAACTAAAATATTCAGGGACCCTATTTGATTTAGAAAAAAGGCAAGAATTAACCAACTTATTTCACCTCACTATACCTTAGTATCTTTATCATTAAAATAAAAATACTATAAAATTAAAAAGTAAAAATAAAACTAATAAACTTTACTTTATAGAACTGTATAGGATTTAATAAGGTAATTACTCATATTATTGCCATTATCTTAATAATGAGAAGTGAAAGAACTTGCTCACCATCACATAGCTACTGATTTATACTTAGGTTGTACAGTTTCTCATCCTACATTGTAAGCCATGAAGTTCATCTGCCTCCCTTACCTTGCTAGGCTCATTTCTTAATCTGTTCAATGAGGAAATTAGATCAGATGACAAGAGAACTCCTATCTGCTAACATTTTTCTTCTATCCAGCCTTCTCATCAGCTGAAGCTCAGCTGTTCATAAATCTACAAGCTTCCAAGCTAAAATAAAATACAACAATATAGCTTAGGTTTGAAATAGGGAAGAAAAAAATACTCAAGAATTGAATTATATGTTGAGTTAAAAAAAAGAAAAGCGTTTGGTGGGAAGCCCCTCATTGCTCCAAAGAGATAAGTGTTTCCTAGGAGGCCAGTAGTAGACTCTGAATTCATTCAGAAGTCCATGCATATTATAAGCTTTAAGTCACTTATAACCCTTTTAAGGAAATCACAAATAGCTCTAAACCTAGAATCTTCAGACCACCAAATACTCTTACCCTTTTGGAATCAAGGGTCTCTATAAAAACTCTGGAAAAAAAAACTGCTACATATATTTACTCAGATACATGAGCACACACAATTCTTCCCCCACCCCCACCCCCACCCCCCCCCAGTCATTAGGCCTGAACTCTGGGCCTGGGCACTGTCCCTCAGCTCTTCAGCTCAAGGCAACTACTCTACCACTTGAGCCACAGCGCCATTTCTGGCTTCTTCTGCTTATGTAGTGCTGAGAAATTGAACCCAGAGACTCATGCATGCAAGGCAAACACTCTACTCTGAGCCAGCTTCCCAGCCCCAGCACACACAATTCTATCTGCAATTATAAGGGAATAAATCCTCTAAAAGCTCTTCCTACGTTTAAGTATTCCTGAAATAGATCTTGTCCTCCTAAGAGATTTGTCTCCCCAAGAGACTCAGACCTTACCCAAGATCTGGATTAGAGTTTCTAGGCAACTGTGCTAGGGAGACAAATTATGTACTAAAACAACATAATTAATCCTACATAGGAAAGACAAAAGGCTCTCCTCCATATCAACTAGTACTGAGGGAATTCAAACAGAAAAGATCTGTAATTTAATCCCCAAACTCCAGTGGATATAAAATTTAAAATGGTTCTAATATTTCATATGTGACCCCCCCCCAAAGCATCTTGCAAGACATGAGAAGTTTTTTAAAAAAAATCCCAGTTTCCACTGAACTGTACTCATCCTCTATTTATTCCAAAACAGATTATGTCAAGATTGCCAATTAGCCTTATGAAATGACTTTTCTTCCATAAGGACTTTGAAAACTATAGTTTACCCAAGAAGCCACAAAATCTTAGTCATAATTGAAGAAGAAATCAAGACAAGAAGCCATAATTTTTTCCCAGAAGACTAACAACAGTGTATAAGTGCTAGCAAAAAACTCGAGAAATACATAGCTTCAAATATAACTGATAGGTTTGTGAGTTAATAATGTCTTTAGTAGTGGGATCATAGTCTGACAAATTTTTATCAAAAATTTAAAAACAGGCTAGTCGTGACTCACAGCTATAATCCTAGCTACTCAGGAGGCTAAAATTCAGGTTTAAATTGAGGTCTGAAGCTAGCCTAGAGAGAATGCATCTGAAAATTAACCAGGAAAAAGCTGATCTGGAGACATGGCTCAAGAGACAGAGTGCCAACTAAACAACCAAGTCAAGTAAAGGTGAGAGGCCCTGTACCTCAGTACCAACACACACACACACACACACACACACACACACACACACACACACACACACACACACACACACACACACACACACACACACACACACACACACACACACACACACACACACACACACACACACACACACACACACACACACACACACACACACACACACACACACACCCTATAATCCTAATACTCAGGAGGCTGAGGGGGAAGAATCAAGAATTCAAGGCCAGCCTGGTTGTAGCAAGACCCTGTCTCAAAACAGAAAAAAGAAAAGTTTGAAACACATACCCTTTGATGCAGCAATTCTCTACAGATATTTTATAAAAGTGGGCCAAAATAGGTATGCAGCAAGTTCAATACAGCATTGTTTATAATGGCCCAACACTGGAAACAAAGTTCTGCTAGCTGGACACTGGTGGCTCACGCCTGTAATCCTAGCTATGCAGGAGGCTGAGATCTGAGGATTGTGGTTCAAAGCCAGCCCGGGTAGGAAAATCTGTGAGACTCTTATCTCCAACTACCCACCAGAAAACCAGAAGTGGTGCTATGGCTCAAGTGGTAGAGCACAGGCTGGGAAGGTAGCTCAGTGGTAGAGCCCTTGCCTTGCATACATGAGGCCCTGGGTTCAATTCCTCAGCACCACATAAGCAGAAAAAAATAAAAAGCCATAAGTGGTGCTGTGGTTCAAGTGGTAGAGTGCTAGCCTTGAGCTGAAGAGCTGAGGGACAGGCCTAGAGTTCAGGCCCACAACTGGACCCCCACCCCACCCCCCCAAAATAAAGTGGTAGAGCACTAGCCTTAACTGAAGAGCTTAGGGACAGCACCCAGGCCCAGAGTTTAAGCCCCACAACTGACCAAAAAAAAAAAAAAAAAAAAGAATTCTGTTCTTTTAGGAATGCCACAATGATAGCATATCATGTAAAATGAACCAGTAAATGAAGATATAAAAAGATCTCTCAGATATAACTAGGAAATAAACTTGAGAACATTAGGTCTTATAACATGGTTCCTTCAGTGTAAAATTTTTAAATGTTCCATATACAGCCTGGTATCTGACTCAAATTATGTTCTAGAAAGATATGTAAGAAACTGCTCACTGTAGTTATCTTTAGAAACAGTGACCAGAGAGCTCAGGCAGAACAGACTGATATACAAACATCCAAAATCATCTAAGAAATAGAGATAATCTGAAGATAGAACTAATTCTCATTTAGGAGCCTGCACCCTCCTCTACCCCTTCCTTGGCATGTCACCCCTCCATGTAGACTTGAAATTGCTCCCAAATATCCTCCTTCCCCTACCCTACTACTTAGGAGACATGAAGATGTGGTGTGCTTTAAAATTTTTTGAAGAATGAAACTAAGTTGTGTGAAAAGACAAGAGGTAAGGGGAAGATGGCCCCTCAACACACAGCTGGAACCTAGTAAGGAAACTGGAGGAGAAAAGGGAGAACTAAAATCTCTTCTCAAGACACTTCACTCAAGCTTTCCTCGGGCAATGGATAGCTCAGTACCCTACTCCAACTGCTAGCTATTGACTGTCACTGTAAGTGAGGAGAAAGCTAGTTAGCTAGGCTAACTATGGGCCAACATAGTTACTTCAATTCTGTCTTTTATGATATAGATGAGTCAGAAGAGTTGTTCCTAAACAGCTTGAAGAGGCAGACAATACTACTGCTGAACCTACAGATTGTAGCTATCTTCACAGATAGCAAACCTCCATAAGCACACAATGTAAAGGCACATTAAGGGGGTCTGCCTCAACATGCAACAGCCAGGTGTTATATGCAACAGAGAAGGCTGAAAAAAATCTCTGCTGCCCTGTGGGGCCTCAGAGAGTCCTGCTCGACAGGGTTGGGCTACACATGTCTGCTTTTCCAGCCACTCTGACTGCCCATTGGACCATATAGGACAAAATCAAGGAAGATAATCCTCTGTATTTAACTGCTTCGTTTATCTGATGCCCATAAGCCCATGAAATAAATTATAACCTTCTTTCCTTTCCATGACAGTCTTCTGAAACACTGCTTTACAAAGGGTAAATTATATTCATGTAGAATTTCCAGAGGAGCTAGCTCTCTTTAAAGCAAGAATAGCTTTACCTACAGGTAAGCATAAAAATTCCTTCAGAATTTAAGGAACACAAAGAGCCTCTCTTTCTTGCCTCCATCCTCAAATCCCTTAAAAATGACACAAAGTTCTCCATTGATGCTTCACATTATCAGGTCAGAATTGGCCTGTTTAGGTAGTACTTGTTTAATAATGAAAAGAGGAAAAACAGATTAGATCTCTAACACCATGGCACACTAACTCTTCATCTTATACTGTTGTAGTCAATAAACCTTTGGAGAAACTGAAAAAAAGCAAACATTTCATTTCTAAAAAAGTGTATTGAACTATAATATATAATTTCCATATAATTTTGAGCTCACAATTCTTCTGAAGCCCATTTAGGAACCCTCTCTAGTCTGGGACTAAGAACCTATAGCTAAGAAGGAATAAATTTGGCAAATGTTTCCAAGAGCTCCTGTGCATGTGGGGAATGAGGGATCTCAAGAAAGAGAGTTCTCTCTATACTTCAGACTACTGCCTAGAAGTGACCCTATCTAGAGTCCACATTGAAAAGTATGACTCACCCTCAACAAGAAGTATGAATTATTTATTATTCATCCTCTCTCTGCTTAGAAATAAGATTCTCCTGGCTTCAGAGAAGCAGAACATGTTAACCGATGACCAATTGAGATCATCTACCAAACAGGTTCTCACACTTGCTGGTTAATCACACTACCTGAGGAATGAGGAGAAGGAAAATCTGAACACTTTATGAATCAAGGGGCCTCACCTCTGAGGTTTTCGAATATCCCAGAGTCCAACTCCTTCCTTTGAATTGGCTGTGGCCAACAACCTGGGTTCCACTGGGTTAAACATGACACTGTGAAAGGCTGATGGATAGTTTGCCAGACAGAAGGGCTCTGTGAAAAAGAAAAATCATGATCAGTTCATTCCAGGTACCTTTGGGTCAGTAGCAGGCAGAAGATGAGCAAAGAGGATGAGTGCAAGTAGGAGCAAACTCTTTAATAACCCACAACCTGGAAGGGAAAACAAAGGAGGAGTCTAAAATGCTTGATAAGAAATGTACTCATTATCTTGACCATGTAATTGTAACTCCTCTGTACAGTATTTTCACAATAAAAAATAAAATTTTTTTTTAATTTAAAAAAAAAACTCACAACCCCAAAAACAAAAAAATAGGGTTGGGAATGTGGCTTAGTGGTAGAGTGCTTCCTAGCATGCATGAAGCCCTGAGTTCCATTCCTCAATACCACAAAAACAGAAAACCCAGAACTGGTACTGTGGCTCGAGTGGTAGAGTGCTAGCCTTGAGCACAGAGAGGGTCAGGGACAGAGCCCAGGCCCCAAGTTCAAGCCCCAGGACCAGCAAAAAAGAAAGGAAGGAAGGAAGGAAGGAAGGAAGGAAGGAAGGAAGGAAGGAAGGAAGGAAGGAAGGCAGGCAGGGAGGAAGGAAGGAAGGAAGGAAGGAAGGAAGGAAGGAAGGAAGGAAAGAAGGAAGGCAGGCAGGGAGGGAGGGAGGGAGGGAGGGAGGGAGGGAGGGAAAAAAATAACCCACAACTTCAATGTAACACACCCCACCAGGCACCCTTCCCTCAAGGTCCTCCCAGTCCTGCACATATTTTTATCGTGTAGAAAGTCTAAAAACAGTAACTTAAACATGTTTGACCAAATTTTAAATCATAACACTCAGAAAACTATATAACACCTGAAAGGAGGAAGCTGTTTTACAGTAGTAAAACTAAATTCCACAGGAGCTGAAAAAATTTACAATCCATTTCCAGTAGATTATTACACCTTCAACCTTAATGTATTACATAAAATTATAAGTTTTATACTGCAAATGAATTTAATGAAGACAAAGCAAAACAGAGAAAATACTAAGATAAGGTAAAACAATGGTGCAATTTTCTCTTCTGATTCACAATGCTCCCTAAATGGCTTATTCCTTAAATGGCTCCCTAAATTCCTAAGTGTTGAATTTTTATGATTTGATTCACTATTAGAATTTTTTTAAGTTGTGTATGGTAGTACATATCTATAATCCTAGCACTCAAGAGGCTGTAAGGTAAGAGGATCATAAGTTAGAGGCTATAGTCTGAGTTTTGTCAAAAAAAAATGTTTATGATTAAAACCAGGGCTGGGAATGTGGCTTCCTGGTAGAGTGCTTGCCTCATATGCATGAAGCCCCGGGTTTGATTCCTCAGTAGCACATAAACAGAAAAAGCCGGAAGTAGTGCTGTGGCTCAAGTGGTAGAGTGAAAGCCTTGAGCAAAAGAAGTTCAGGCATAGTGCCCAGGTCCTGAATACAAGCCCGAGGACTGGCAAAAAGAAATAAATAAAAGCGGGGCTAGGAAGCTGGCTCAGTGGTAGAGTGCTTGCCTTGCATGCATGAGGCCCTGGGTTCAATTCCTCAGCACCACATAAGCAGAAAAAAGCCAGAAGTGGCGCTGTGGCTCAAGTGGTAGGGAGCTAGCCTTGAGCTGAAGAGCTGAGGGGCAGTGCCCAGGCTCAGAGTTCATCCCCCACAACTAAATAAATAAATAATTTAAAAACTCAATACTTGGAACTTAACATGCATCTAACCAATTCCTAGTAAACTTCACTTAGAACTCCTACATTCCTCTACATAAATTAGCAGGCTCCAGATGAAGAAGAAACCAGTTTGCTACCTAGAAGCACATGTTTCTGTGGAAGCATTTTAGAGTCAAAGACAGCACCTCTCCATCTATGATTAACATATGTAGTCCTGCCCAGGACCTTGACAGCTGAAGAACTCTCAGCAATCAAACAGACAAAGGACAATCAAACCTACTGTATACACAAAGAACCATAGCACTGTTTGCTGCAACCAGGCCTGCCTGACGTAAGGACAAGCTTCTCTGAACACTAATAATGTTAAATGCCTAAAATATGGAAAAAACAAAAGACTTAGATCCCACAGGCAGGATGGTAACTGTGTACACAGGTGTGACTGATTATTTGAAGCCACACTAAACCTGGAGGTGGTAATGGTGGTGGCAAGAGGGTGGTACTGGAGGAAAGAGCCTCTGAAGACTGAGCTACAGAGAGAAATTTCTCTACAGGAAATGAGCTGAGAAGATATATTTCCTGAAGAACATTAGTAGAGAAAGTCAACAAATAAGTTCTTCATTTCACATTTAAGAGACAGAAAGAAAACAATGGAAGAGATGCTCAGTGACAATTCCCCTTACAAGGTGCTCTGCCATCTTTCTATAATCCTATGCAGGTGTAAGGTGAAGTTCTGTGGGCTTTTTTTAAAAAACAAAGAACAAGACCACTACTATATCTGCAAAAATGTGCACAGCATCCTCATTCTCTGTAAATAATCAGTTCGTATGTGTCAGTAACACACAGAGCTGGCCCCTAGTGGCCAGTCTTTGTGGTGAGGCACCACAACTTTTGTTCCTAAGGGTACAAATCACCAGATAAAAGAGTTTGTGGACTCTCTTGCTGCTCTTTTCTACCTCTCTCTGCTTTCTCTCTGCTCTAGCTCTTTCCTCTCTTTCCCAGCTCTCTCTCATTCCCAGGCCTTTCCCAGCCACATGGAGTGCCAACCTTGCCTGGTCCCAGCAGGTCTACTGAATACCTGAATACCACGAAAGTGCTGCTGTTCTTACTCGACTATCTCTCTTGCTGCTCTTTTCTAGCTCTCTCTGCTTTCTCTCTGCTCTAGCTCTTTCCTCTCTTTCCCAGCCGCGTAGAGTGCCAACCTTGCCTGGTCCCAGCAGGTCTATAAACCTACCCCTCACCAGAATACCACGTGCATGCTGCTGTTCTTACTTGCCTACCTCTTTTTAAAAACCTAACACTTAATATATACTAAATACAAAAGGACCTCAATAAATATTTGTTGATTATTAAAAAAAAAAAAAGAGTTTGTGGAGATTCACAGGTGGTTGGAGAAGAGATAGCAAAGATGCCCCACTTCTGACAATTTAGGGTAGGAGCTAAGCCACATGTCTTACATTTCCTCTCACATCCAGACAGGTAATAACTGAATCTGCAATAAACTTGACATCAAACTACTCAACATTTAATGCAATAACCTTTGATAAAGTGTCCCTACCTCCATGAGGAGACTCCCGGATGTCCCAAATGAGAACCCGGCCATCGTCTGAGGAGCTGGCAAAAATGTTGTCGTTCACTGGGCTCACTGACAAGCCATATACTGCATCTTCATGAGCAAAAACATCCAAAGTCTCACTGCTGAGAAAGAGAAAGCAAAAGAGGCACACAGGCATCTAGATATATATATAAACAAAGCATAAAGTCCCAGCGCAAGTTACGTAGGGTGCGGTTACTTTCATTCCCAGGAGTAAATCAAAAGGATATTATATTTCCTAAAAAGTCAGTACTCAATTTTCAAATAAAAAATATATACACACATATATACACATGTGTGTACTACATATAATACAATGCATAATGTATATAAAAGCATATTAAATATATTTCAAAACTTTCACACTAAATATAAATATTTTAAAGTGATTCAGCAGATGTGGTGGCTCACACCCATGATTCCAACTATTTGTGAAAAGGACATTGTGAGCCAGGCCCTGGTGGCCTAGCTACATGTAATCCTAGCTACTCAGGAGGCTGAGATCTGAGAATCACAGTTCAAAGCCAGACCAGGCAGGAAAGACAATGAGATTCTTGTCTCCAATTATCCACCTAAAAAGTGGTACTGTGGCTCAAAGTGGTAAGCACTAGCCTTAATCAAAACCTCAGGGACAGCACCCATGCCCTAAGTTCAAGCCCCACAACCAACAAGAAGGAAAAAAAGAAAGAAAGAGAGAGAGAGGAGAGAGAGAGAGAAAGAAACAAGAAAGCAAGAGGAAGGAAGGAAGGAAGGAAGGAAGGAAGGAAGGAAGGAAGGAAGGAAGGAAGGAAGGAAGGAAGGAAGGAAGGAAGGAAGCAAGAAAACAGAAAAAGAGAAGAGAAGAAAAAAGAACAGGACATTGGAAGGATTGCATTTGAGGTTAGCTAAGGCAGAAAAGTTAGACACTACATCTCAACCAGTAAGCTAAGAGAGGTAATACACACTTGTAGTCCAGCTATGTAGGAAGAACAGAAGATTATAGTCTGAGATCAAACATAAGACCCTATCTTGAAAAATAACTGGAGGTGTAGCTCAAGAGGTAGAATGCATGAGGCCCTAAATTCAAAGCACAGTACTGTTTTTCCCCCCCACCCCCAACAACAACAACAACAAAAATGCAGTCTGGTACAATACAGTAAGAATTCAATAAATATTACCTATTACTATTTCTACTACTAAACATTATTTCCCTTCACCTTTTGATCTCTTTAAATTTTTACCTAAAACTAATTTCATGTCAACTTTTTTTTGAGCTGGTGCTGGACTTGAACTCAGGGGCTAGGCACTGTCCCTGAACTTCTTTGGCTCAAGGCAGGCACTCTACCACTGGAGCCATAATGCCACTTCCAGCTTCTTTTGAGTAGTTCATTGGAGATAAGAGTCTCATGGGGCCAGACACTGGTGGCTCATACCTGTAACCCTAGCTACTCAGGAGGATGGGATCTAAGAGTCCAAGTTCAAAGCCAGCCCAGGCAAGAAAGTCCATGAGACTCTTCTTGGGTTTTTTTTTTGGCCAGTCCTGATGCTTGACTTCTGGGCCTACACACTGTCCTTGATCTTCTTTTTGCTCAAGGCTAGCACTGTACCACTTGAGCCAGTGTGCCAGTGTTTTTCTGTATATGTGGTAGTAAGGAGTCGAACCCAGGGCTTCATGCATGCAAGGCAAGCACTCTATCACTAAGCTACATTCCCAGGCCTTCCATGAGACTCTGATCTCCAATTTCACCACCAGAAAACCAGAAGTGGTGCTGTGGCTCAAGAAGTAAAGCACTTGCCTTGAGCTAAAGAGCTCAGGGACAGGAACCCAGGACCAGAGTTCAAGCCCCACAATAAATAAACAAACAAAATAGCCTCACAGACTTTCTTGCCCAGGCCCGCTTCAAACCACAATCCTCAGATCTTAGCCTCCTGAGTATCTAGGATTATAGGTGTGAGCCAACTGTGTCCAATAACTTTTTTTTTAAATCAAAACTTTATCTTAAAACTATTATAGGATGCAGGTGGCCAGTGACTCATACCTATAATCCTAGCTATCAGGAGGCTGAGATCTGAGAATCTCAGTTCAAAACCAACCATGGCAAACAAATCTAGGCCTCTTATCTCTAATTAACTAGCAAAAAGCTGGAAGCAGAAGGGGGCTCAAGTACAGAATGCTGGCTGTGAACATTAAAAGCTAAGCACAAGTTTGAGGTCCTGAGTTCACACTCCAGTATTCTTACAGAAATCTTTTTCAGAAAAGTACCATTGACTCCATGTTTTCTTCAAAAGCTAAAAAGATGATTTTGATCTAAAGAACTATTTGCCTTTCTTCATATGAAAAATACAAAACTTCACCAGATGCCAGTGGCTCATGCATATAATCCTAACTACTCAGGGGGCTGAGATCTGATTAATACGGTTCAAAGTCAGCCTGATCAGGAAAGTCTGTGAGACTCTTATCTTCAATTAACCACTAGAACACCAGAAGTGGCTCTGTGGTTCAAAGTGGTAGAGCACTAACTGAGTGAAAAAGCTCAGTGACATGACAGCATGCAGGCCCTGAGTTCAAGCCCCAAAAGTGACCAAAAAAAAAACTTCATACACCAATAATCTATTTACCTTTCAACATCATGGAGGATAACTTGCTCATCATTTCCTGTGAAGGAAAAAAGCAGACATCTGGTAATTCCTGAAAGTCAGTCCCTGCCCACATTACAATGTAGTATTTTAAAGTTTTCAGGGATAAAATATCAACAAAGTCAAAATTAATACAAATCAGATGTATTCATCAAGAGATTTATAGAAGTAACTTAAGGTTAGGATAGTCTTACAGAAAAAAAATTAAAAATGTAATAGCAATAAGGTATAATATAATAACAGTTCCCCACATGCATTATCCAGAGGGTTAGGGGAAAAAAAATTAGCCCCTAAACAAGAGTAAACGATCAAATAAATTCACTTACTCAAGCCAATATTTCCTTTTCCACCAGCAAAACATTCATTAACTATGAAACCTGGAAGGAGATCTCTAACATTTTGAGGTTTCAGCTATTTACCTGAGAATTGGGACAATAGTTATATCTACTTCAGAGGGCTACTATAAGGCTATAAATCTATAAACATACTCAGAATAAGGTTGAGCACTTGATAACCACCACCCCCCCATAAAAGTTTGCTACTTTTGGGCTGGGAAGGTGGCTCAGTGGTAGAGTGCTTGCCTTGCATGCACAAGGCCCTGGGTTCAATTCCTCAGTACCACATAAGCAAAAAGAAAAAAAGCCGGAAGTGGTGCTGTAGCTCAAGTGGTAGAAAGCTAGCCTTGGGCTGAAGAGCTGAGGGACAGCGCCTAGGCCCAGAGTTCAGGCCCCACGACTGGACCCAAAAAAAAAAGTTTGCTACTTTCCCTATCCTTATCTTTTTTTTTTTTTTTTTTTTGCCAGTCATGGGGCCTGAATTCTGGGCCCTCAGCTCTTCAGCTCAAGGCCAGTACTCTACCACTTGAGCCACAGCACCACTTCCGGCTTTTTCTGCCTGTGTGGTACTGAGGAATGGAACCCAGGGCCTCATGAATGCAAGGTAAGCACTCTACCATTGAACCATCTTCCCAGCCCCTTACCATCTTTTTTATAGCATTAAAATTTGATGACTTGCCATGCGCTGGTGGCTCATATCTGTAATCCTAACTACTCAACTCTGAGGATCATGAATTGAAGCCAGTCCAGGCAGTAAAGCTGTGAGATTATTTAAAAAAAAAAGCTAGAAGTGGAGCTGTGGCTCAAGTGGTAGAGGACTTGAGCAGCTCAGGGACAGGGACCAGGCCTGTGTTCAAGCCCCAGGACCAGTAAAAATGGATGACTATGATTCTAAATAATAGGAATATTTTTCGCTACAATTTTCTCCTTTCCTCATTTCTTCTTTTTCCATCAAGGGATCTAAAAATACTAAATTTAAAATGCAGCAGTACAGCCGGGCGCCAGTGGCTCACGCCTATAATAGGTACTCAGGAGGCTGAGATCTGAGGATCACAGTTTGAAGCCAAACCAGGCAGGAAAGTCCTTGAGACTTTTAGCTCCCATTAACCACCAGAAAACTGGAAGTGGCGCTGTGGCTCAAGTGGTAAGAGAGCTCACCTTGAGCTTAAGAGCTCAGGGCCAGTATCCAGGCCCAGAGTTCAAGCCCCACAACCGACCAAAAAAAAAAAAAACAACAATGCAGCAGTGGTACACAGTAGACACTATGTTGAAAATGAACTATGTAACTTGTGGGTGGGATGGGAGGGCCACAATAGGAGACAGTAAAGGAAGCGAGAACATTGTCCAAACAGAAATGTGCTCATTACCTGACTTGAGTAACTGAAACTCCTTTGTATATTACCTTTATAATAACAATTTTAGGAAATGAAGTAAAACTAAAATAGAAATACTATATTTATAAAGTACCTTTAAATTGTAGATAGCGCTAAAAAATAAAAACCTGGGGGCTGGGAAGGTGGCTCAGTGGTAGAGTGCTTGCCTTGCATGCATGAGGCCCTGGGTTCAATTCCTCAGCACCACATAAGAAAAAAGAAAAAAGCTGGAAGTGGCACTGTGGCTCAAGTGGTAGAGCGATAGCCTTGAGCTGAAGAGCTGAGGGACAGCGCCCAGGCCCAGAGTTCAGGCCTCACGACTGGACCCAAAAAATAATAAAAAATAAAAAATAAAAACCTGAATATGAAAAGACAGAAAGTAAAAAATATCCCATATCCCAAGCTTAAATGCACAATCAACAGTCACTTATAAAGAAAACAAAAGTAAGAATGAAAGTGTAGCCCAGGCTCTCTTAAATTTCAGTCCTAGGATGAATTATATTGTGATTGCATGCCAATGAAATGGATAAACTCATATAGGTCCTTCCAGGTGTCAGGCACAGGCTAGGTACAGCAGAGTAAGATTCTGCCCAGTCCCTGAGGAACTGATAGTTAACTGCACAAATTAATAGCAGCAAAAAGATTTTTCATGTAGTGATAAGTTTGGCAGGAATGAAATACATGGGAAAACGAGGCAGTTGCAGAGAGAAATAACCCTGAAGGCTTACTAATGGAAGATGTATGGGGGCATGTGGGGCAGCGAAGGTGGAAGAACAGCCTGAGCAAAAGGCACAGGTAAAATAAAGTAGCACAGTTCAGAGCACACTTAAGCCTGAAAGTAATTTAGGAGGTTACAATGTATGTCTGTGGCAAGGGAAATGATACTAAAAACCAGGAAGACTGGAGTTTGGGCTATTCAGTAGACACTATAACAAGGTTTGAATAGTCAAATCTTTGTTTTAAATCTAGCAATGAGTTGAAAGGGAGAGACTGGTAGCAGAAGTTACAGTGCTAGGGATCAGACACAGGGCCTTGAAGGACTACCACTAGGCTATTATTCCCAGCCCAATCTGTTAAATTGCCTTGTGGACACAAGTGGATGTAGAGAGGAGTAATCTGCAGCTCAAAGAGGTCAGACCCAGAAAGTTGGTAGTAATAAAGGGAGTGATGGATAGAAACCACTACAAGAGGTTGGCTCAAGCACTAGCCACCCCAATTGTATCATAACAGAACTTTTTGAAAGTCATCCATGGCTTACGACATCTAATTGAATCACAGCCAACATTCTAAAATGATGTATCCTAGGCACTGGGTTATGACATCAAACTGAATCACAGTCAACAAGTGCTGGGCACTGGTGGCTCATACCTGTAATCTTATCTACTCAGGAGGCTGAGATCTGAGGAACACAGTTCAAAGCCAGCACAGGCAGAAAGGTCCTTGACACGCTTATCTTCAATAAACTACTCACAAAAGGCCAGAAGTGGCACTGTGGCTCAAATAGTAAAGCAAGCAACTAGCCTTGAGCAAAAGAAGCTCAGGGTCAGCACCCAGGCCCTGAGTTCAAGCCCCAGGACTAGCACAACCAAGCAATCAATAAATCAAGAGTATACTGCAGATAATAGGCTTAAGTATTATTTCATGTGTATGTGTGTGTTTGTGAACCAAACTGCAACATAAAGTTTTCTGTCACAAAGAAAAAGGAAGAGGATAGAGGAAGAAAGGGAAGGAGAGGAGAGCTATCTAAACTGCCGTAATAGAGAAAAGACAAGCTATTGAAAACCAGTAATTCCACAGCTGTGTCAAATATAGGCAAAATTTTTAAGAGTTATTAAAATAATATTAGCATTTGTTTCTCTAAAGTTTCAGCCACAGTTTCCAAAAGTAGAATCTTCTCACCTCCAGAGAACACTTTGGTATTCCCACTGTTGAAAGCCAGGCAAAAAATGTTGGAATGGTGCTCTCCTTTCAGCTGTATGGGCTTCACCCTGGAATGGATGGCTTGTTCCATGTGCCATAGCAGAACCCGACGGTCATCTCCTCCTTGAGAGGGAAGTAGGAATCTAGAGTTAAAACAGCTGACTCTACAGGACAGTTTTGCCAACCTCACCTCTTATTCTTTCCAGAACTACATCTCCCCAATACTGTAAGATTCTGATAAAACACAAAAACCTAGGACTTTTCACCATTAAACCATGGAACAGGAAGTGGCGCTGTGGCTCAAGTGGTAGAGCGCTTGCCTTGAGCTGAAGAGCTGAGGGACAGCGCCCAAGCCCAGAGTTCAAGCCCCATGACCGACAAAAAAAAAACAAACCTTAAACCATGGGACACATGATCTCTAAGCTATAAACACTCTCCCAGGAAGTATATCTTAAACCAAATAATACTGAAATTGAAAAGTGTAAGCTGTGAAATTAAGACCACCACCCCCACAAGCCACCCTATTCCTGTCTTTCTAGGGGCCCAGCTATTGAACTCTGAAGTGATAGGTTCTACCAGAACAGTATTCAAAGCAATCTTTTGATGTGATCCCATTGACTATAGCATAGTAATATGACAACTAATGAATTGCCTAACCCTAGTAGGAGCTAGACAGAATCCAGTCTCATGAAACCCAGTCCAGCTCTTATCTCTGTATAACTTTAAATAGTGTGAATTACACAAGCAATATTACACTGTATAAGCCAGTGCCTAGAAAAGAATGTTTATGTTCAGTATATTTACAGACGCATTAAACATGTTTACAGCAATGAACAGACTTAATGATTACTTCTAAAAAATAGGATTAGAAGAGAGAAGTAGAGAAAGGTTGAAGCCAGGCGCTGGTGGCTCACGCCTGTAAGCCTAGCTACTGAGGAGGCTGAGAGCTGAAGACCATGGTTCAAAGCAGCCTGGGCAGGAAAATACATTAGACTCATCTCCAATTAACCACCAGAAAACAAAGAAATAGAGCTGTGGCTCAAAGTGGTAGAGTGCTAGCCTTGAGCAAAAAGAGATCAGGGACAGTGCCCAGGCCCTGAGTTTCAAGCCCCAGGACCAACAAAAAAAAAAAAAAAAAAAAAGGAAGAAGAGGAAGAAAGAGGAAGAGGAAAAAGAGAAGGAGAAGAAGAGGCTTTTTATTTTGCATTGTTTTGACTATTTTTTCTTTTTGCTGTACTGGCTGGGGATTGAATCCAGCACTCTGAACATGCTATAACTTCCCATTCCTGTTTGACTTTTTTTTTTTTTTTTGTCGGTCGTGGGGCTTGAACTCTGGGCGCTGTCCCTCAGCTCTTTAGCTCAAGGCGAGCACTCTACCACTTGAGCTACAGTGCCACTTCCGGTTTTCTGGTGGTTTATTGGAGATAGGAGTCTCATGGTCTTTCCTGCCCGGGCTGGCCCGGGCTGGCTTTGAACCGCGATCCTCAGATCTCAGCCTCCTGAGTAGCTAGGATTACAGGCATGAGCCACCAGTACCCAGCTTCCTGTTTGACTTTTTATAACAAGCCAATGATATAGTCTGTTCCTAATAAAAATTTAAGTTCCAACAGCAGCAAATCATAGCAAGCTCTATACCTTGTCTATCCTAAGTAATTAAAAAAAAATACAAAAATATCCTCTTCCAACTGAGGATATAGCTCAGTGATAAAGTATGTGCTTAACATCTGTAAGACATGAGGTATAATAACCAGCACATTTTTAAAGCCACAAAACTATAACACATCCATATATAAGCAAGATATGAAGAAGTCAGTCAGTAGATCTACGAGCCAATAGAACCCAAGCACTAGTTATTCATGACTGTAATCCTAGCTACCTGGAGGCTGAGATCAAGAAGACTTCAGTTCTGGGCCAGCCCAGTTCTAGTTCATACATGTGAAACCCCTTCTCAACCAATAGGTGTGCATGGTAGCATACACCTGTCATCCCAGTATTTAGAAGCTGGAGATCAGAAGTATCAGAGTTTCAGGAAAGCCTGGGCAGAAAAGTCCATGAAATTCCATCACAATAGAAAAGCTGGCACAGGGACACAGACCTGTCATCCCAGCTATGTCAGTAAGAGAAAAACAGGTGGAAGATCATGGCCAGCCACACATTTGGCAGAACGAGACCATGTCAAAAAAGAAGGGCTGGAAGTGTGGCTCAACAGTAAAGCACCTTCCTACCAAGTTTAAAACCCTACACATACACACACACACACATACGCACGCACACACACACATGCACATGCATGTACAAAGAACTAATGCAAAGCAAGCTGGGCATTGGTGGCACATTCCTGTAATCCTAGCACTTGGAAGGTATAGGCAGGAGGATCTCAAGTTCAAAACTAACCTTAGCCTAAACCACCTAGAGGAGATACTATAGTGTACTTGTGGCTCACATGGTAGGGTGCCTGCCAGTGAGCGTAAAGCATCAGATACTGAGTTCAAGTTCCAGTCTCAAAGTTAAACAACCAAAAAAAAAAAAACTTTCTTTTTGCCAAGCACTAGTGGCTCACACCTGTAATCCTAGATACTCAGGAGGCTGAGATCTAAGGATCGTGGTTTCAAACAAGCCCCTGTAGAAAAGTCCATGAAAATTTTACCTCCAATAAAATTATCAAAAAGCCAGAAGTCGTGCTGTAGCTCACATGGTAGAACACTAGCCTTGAGCAAAATAAGCTCAGTGACAGTGCCCAAGCTCTTAGTTAAAGCCTTAGGACCAGCACAGAAAGAATAACTAAAAACAAAAAGGTTGGGTGCCAGTGGTACACATCTGTAATCCTGACTATTGCCAAGGCAGAGATCAGGAGGATCAGTTTGAGGCCAGCCAGGCAAAAAGTTTGTGAGAACACATTGCAACAAAAAACAAAAACCCTGAGCATGGTAGAACATGTCAGTCATCCAGCTATTGCAAGAAGTGTAATTAAGAATTGCAATCCTCCAGGCTGGCCTAGGAAAAAAGGAAGATCTAATCCCAAAAATAATCAAAGCAAGCCAGGCCCCAGTGGCCTACAGCTATCTACTCAAAAGGCTGAGACATGGATGGAAATTTGTAGAGTATTGAACAGAAAAGTCCAAGAGACTCCATTCCATCTCACGCTCAACTGGAAATGAGTCTAAAGTGAGTAAACAGCCAGCTAAGCAAGCAAGCCAGCTGACAGTACAAGGGCCTGAGTTCAAATAAGTAATTCAAAAAAGGAATGGAGTAGCCAGGTGCCAGTGGCTCATGCCTATAATCCTAGCTACTCAGAAGGCTGAGATTTGAAGATTGTAATTTAAAGTTAGCTGGGAAGGAAAGTCTTTGAGACTCATCTCCATTTTACTACCAAAAATAAAACAACAACAGGGCTGGGAAGGTGGCTCAGCGGTAGAGCGCTTGCCTTGCATGCTCGAGGCCCTGGGTTCGATTCCTTAGCACCATATAAGCAAAAAGAAAAAAGCCGGAAGTGGCACTGTGGCTCAAGTGGTACAGCTCTAGCCTTGAGCTGAAGAGCTGAGGGACAGCGCCCAGGCCCAGAGTTCAGGCCCCACGACCAGACCCAAAAAAAAAAACCAAAAATAAAACAACAACAACAAAAAAAAAAAAACTGGGATTAAGGGAAGAAGTGACATTGTCCAAAAAGAAATGTACTCTTTACCTGATTTATGTAACTGTAATAAGAGTTTTCTTTAAAAAAAATTTTTAGGGGCTGGGAAGATGGCTCAGTGGTAGAGTGCTTGCCTTGCATGCATGAGGCCCTGGGTTTGATTCCTCAGCACCACATAAGAAAAAAGAAGAAAGCTGTAAGTGGCACTGTGGCTCAAGTGGTAGAGCGCTAGCCTTGAGCTGAAGAGCTGAGGGACAGCGGCCAGGCCCACAGTTCAAGCCCCACGACAGACAAAAAATAATAATAATTTCTTTGTAAAGGCTTAATGCCTCTATGCTGATCATACGGAAATAATATTTATCTAAATGAATTCCAGGAACCAGAAGCAAAAGGTTTTTTTTTCCTTTTTGTCCTGTTTGTATTCCCATCTTTGGAGAGGTAAAGGGAGCACAGAAATTGAGGAACAAAGGGTGAACAAATGCAGCAGTGGTACTCACTAGACACTACGTTGAAAATGAGCTATATAACTTGTGGGTGATATTATCCAAGAAGAAATATACTCATTTCCTGACTTATGAAAGAGCCCTCTGTACATCACCTTTATAATAACAATAAAAATATTTAATTAAAAAAACTCTAGCCAGGTGCCAGTGGCTCACGCCTGTAATCCTAGCTACTCAGGAGGCTGAGATCTGAGGATTGCGGTTCAAAGCCAGCCCAGGCAGGAAAGTCTGTGAGACTCTTATCTCCAATAAATCACTAGAAAACAGGAAGTGGCACTGTGACTCAAGTGGTAGAGCACTTGCCTTGAGCTGAAGAGCTGAGGGACAGTGCCCAGGCCCAGAGTTCAAGCCCCACGACCAACAACAACAACAAAAAAAAAACTCTAGTAGGAAAACAAAAGAATATGAAAACTCACAGAAGGGAAACATATCAAATATATTATAAAGTCTCTTGAGCTCTACGGTACTGAGGAAGAACACATTATAATTTAACCATCTCATATAGTGGCACAAGGAAATATTCACTGCAACATTACAATATAAGAACTGTACAACATTTATATCTAAACTCAGGAATGAATAAATTCAATTAGAATACAAATGCAATGAAATCTGAACACAATGGAAAAACACAGAAGGTAAAATTAATCAAGACATGTACAGACATGAATAATCTTGAAAAACTAATGGGAGAAAAAAAAAGCCTCAGAACAATATGAACAGACTGGGCATGTTGGCACACACCTAAAATCCTAGCACTCTGAGGCAGGAAGATCAAGAATTCAAAGCCAGCATGAAAGTTGGTTGTACTGGGGCTCATGCCTGTAATCTCAACCATTCAGGAGGCTGATATCTAAAGATCATAGTTAGAAGACAAACCAGGCAGGAAAGTTAGTGAGATTTTCTTTCTTTTTATGATGTTTTTATTGGCCATGAAGAAGCTGCTAAATAGGAAAATATCTTTAAGTATACAAACAACCATGAAGGAA